GCTGTCCCAAAAATTAAATAAGAAGGGCATATTTGTTTAGATGGATTGAATAAGAGAGATTATAATTCATTGAACTGTTAATTTTGAGATACATAAGTCATGGACTATTTGGTTGGAAATGAAGTGTATCTCATATTTGTTTAGTCATGGGATTAGAAATCAAGAAAATACTATTTTTAAAATTATTTATTATTTTTTTAAATTAAAAATTAGTTTTTGAAAATAAAATCAAACATGTCTAACTATTTGGAGGACAAAATTGTCTTTTTACTAGGAGGACTTGTTCAGGGACTGTGTATCCCACTCCTCCCCCAGGATAGGATAGTCTCAGATAAATCTTGATTTACAGGTGGGAGATATAGTTGTTCTAAAAAGTGTCATTAGGCCAACAGAAATAGTTGCAATCGGAGTACTTAAAAGCACAGACGCATCTAAAGAAGTAGAATGGGAAGAACTGGGACCTGACTATTGGGAGGTACATGTTCAAGTGCCAATCAAACCTAATGAGAGCTTGATCCGATCATATGGACTTGTCAAAACAATTGGACAAGCTATTGGAGCTCATGTTGCTTGGCCTGCTCCATTTGTGGTATATTTCTTTCGTAAATACTAATTTCATTAACAAATTTATATTAACTTAATATAGTTTCAATTACCTTCATATGTTTATCTTTTGGATGCATATTTCACAAGTTATGGATGCTAGTTGAGAATATTTATACAAGTGAGGTTGAGAATTTGGGAACTGATTTTATTTTTGATAATTTTTCTCTCCAGAATATGCATATCACTATGGCTTTTCAGAACTTATGGTTGGAATAATTTTCTTTTAAATTGTTTTTGCTTTAACTTTGTTAGTGTGGTAGAATATTTTATAATTTTGGCAAGGGATTTTTTTTGCAATATAAATAAATTTATATTTCAATAATAAATAATTGATTGTGGTTTGATTTTTTTTTTTAAATTTTTGATGTGATGATCTTATGGTGGTAATATTTGTTTATTATTATGAAAATATTACAGGATGAATGGATGTCAAATTAATATATGATGTGGCAATTAATATTTAATTGTTTATAAAATTGATTCAATTTTTATAGGTATTTACGCATGCATAATTGTAGCTTTTAAAAGTGTCAATTAAAAAAATATATAAGTGGCATTTTGTAGTAGTGATAGTAGCTTTGCAAAGTGTCACTAAAATAAGTTCTAATGGCACTTATATTTATTTAATGACACAAATGAATTGGATTTAGTGGCATTTATGAAAGTGTTATTAATATTAATTGTGGCATAATACGCGTCATTAAAAATTCATATCGTGGCATCTTTTAGATTGCAAGTCTTCTTTAATAGCACTTGATAGCGTCACGAATAGTGCCTACCATGACATTAAAGTATCACTGAAAGGTTTTAGTCTTGATGGTGTAATGACACTTATAAGTGTCACTAACTCTTTTTTTAATGACGCTTGATAGTGCCACAAATAATATCTACCATGATATGAAAATGTCATTGAAAGTTTTTAGCCATGATGGTGTAGTGATACTTGCAAGTATCTGCCGTGGCATTCGTATCTACTGTGACACCGATAGAAATGACACTTGTTCAAAATGCTACAAGACTATAAAATGTCATTAGAAGAATAGTTTTGTGGCACTTTTAAATGTCACTAAACTAAGAAAATGATGTAAAATGTTGTGGCGATTGCTGCCAAAAGATTTTCAAGGTTTTGAGAGTAGGTATGTTTTGAATGTAAGATTTTGGAAAGATGGATGGGTGGTGATGGAGATGAGTGCTTTTATAAACTCTAACTCATGATGTAGTAGGTACGTGGGCTTAATTGTGAGCTGGTATGTCCCAAAATTATTGATGTCCTTTTTAATAATGTTATTAAAGGTTATTATTGTAATAAAAAAAATTAAAAAATAGAGGGTTTAAAATAATTGGTAGGGAACTAATAGTAGCACCCTAAACAATACCATACTCAAAAAGAATAAATTAACAGTGTGACTCAATACATTCACACGTTGATGTTTTGCTTAACACTATGAGTATGACAATTAATAATTTGGGTTGATGCTTTACAACATTAATTTTTTCATTTTAAAAATCAGTCTCAAAATATTCATTAATAGTGTGACTCAATACATTCATGTTGATGTTTTGCTTAACACTACGAGTAAGACAATTAATAATTATGTTGGGTTGATGCTCTATAACATTAATTTTTTCATTTTAAAAATCAGTCTCAAAATATAGTGTACATTTGTTTATTGAATAATACTTGAGATTCCAAAATTTGTAACCCTCAAAACCCTCAATTGATTTTTAACCACTCATTATTTATTTATTCATTTTTTCCCCCTTCTCTCCTCTTTCTCTCTCTCACAAATGTGTGTGGGGATATGGGGGTCTTGGAAATCCATATCACAACTGTTGTTTATTACAATTTATAAGATAAAATAGTTTAAATAAATTTTTGTTTTTATTTAAAAAAGAACTGATTATTAAAAAGTTAAAAAATATATACTCTTTCCGTTTTAAAACATTAATCGCTTATTCTATTTTTCATTATTCTAAAATATTAATCCCATTTCAATAGTCAAGTACAAAAATAATGTAAATTTTTTATTTTACCATTCTTTTAAATTCATTAACAACATAAAAGGTACAATTATGACATTAATATTCCTCAAAAAATATACTATCAAATGAAATTTTGAAAAAACAAATTTTTTAAAATACAATAATTGCACTATCAGAAAAACATTAAATCTTCCAAAATAAACTACTATTTTAAGATGGAGGGAATATTTTTAATTTTTATTTTAATTATAACTTTTAACTCGTAAAATGTTACAATAGACAACCTTAATATAAGATAGTACATAATAGTATATTAAGATTGCACTTACATGGTATAACGTGATATATTATCCGTACACAATAATTTTTCCTAAAGTTGGATTGACCTATCACATCAGAAGTTTGAACTCATGGTACGATTTTTTTAATTCATACATTCTTACATGAATATGGGTTTTATAAAAAAATGAGACATAACTCACATAAAAAGATCGTATTTAGGCCAAGTTTGGCATGAGACAAAAAAGACAAAAAGTCAAAAAGTCATTATCCTATTTAAATCACATCATCTTATTTAAGTCACATCACCTCTCTAATACATCACTTCAAACCCAACCCAAACCCAACCCATATTTCATAAAAAGTAAAAAAGTACACTTATTTAGTCTTCCCAAACTAGGCCTTAATTTTATAATTAATTTATGTACACTATTATTTAAAATAAAAAATTAGATTTAATTTTTAAATTGATTGATAATCAATTAACATATTAACAATAATAATTTCTCTTATATCTTCTCTAATTATCAATCAATTATATTATTTACATATTTAAAAATAAATTTGTATATCATTTTTGTTTTGCCTAAACTTTTCCTTCCCACGAACTCTCTCCAACTTCGTACTTTGCAAAGAATAATATTAGGGACCATGAAAAAAATATCATGAAATATTTCATGAAGAGTTTTCATTTTTTAATTAGTGCGTGGTGTCTTTTTATATGTGTAATCTAATGGTAAAAATTTTTTCATGATCATTTTCATAATATTTTTTTAATGATACCTAACATTACTCTTTGCGAATTTGCATAGTTCGAACTCAATCATATAAAACACCTAAACATTTTGAGTCTAACCTCCATAGAAGTTGTAAACATTTCTTAACAGAAGTACATGCGTAAAATAACAGACAGTACTACCCTTCTTCTTTTTTCAACATAATTAAAACAAGCTGATCAGAAAGCAAGATTACAAAGCAAAGACTCTCAAAAAAGAAACAGAAATCACACACAACAACAACAACAACAACAACTAACTTATAAAAATATAACTGCCAAACACTAAAACATCGAAACCCTAAGTTACGTAGTACGCACTACCATGCATGACTTTCAAGGAAATGGAAGAGCACCAGCGCCACCACCAGCACCACCACCAACACCACCACCTGTACCACCGACACCGCCAATAGGGTATACGCCACCGGTCAAGCCGCCGGGTCCACCGTACCCAACCGCACCGCCCATGCCTGCATTACCGTTGACTCCTCCAATGTTTCCGGTCGTACCGACTATGCCTCCGACTCCGCCGACTGGCAGTCCATTGCTACCGAGTCCACTGTAGCCACCGACTCCGCCGTAGGTGATGAAGTTCTTTTGGTCATTGAGACCTTTGTCATTTGGAGTCACAGGCACATTTCTAGCAGTGATGACTTGAAATACTGCTGCTAGAGCAAGAACTACTATGATTGACCACCTTGCCATTCTCTCTCACTCTTTCTCTCTTGCTCTTCTCTTCTTTTCTTCTACTTTAAGACCTGGTGAGTATTGTGGTGATTTGGTCTCCTTTTTAAAGACAGCACTGGGGTGTTGGGAACAGTTGGGATTATTAAATGGAGTTAAATACATACGACAGAGTGTAGATTTGCTCTCTCAATGTATAAACTAGTTTTGTGGCTCTCTTCTCGTGTCCTAAAATAGTTACAAGGAAAAATGATTCACAAATAAAAAAAACTTACAAAAATAATCATATTCTAATAAAAAAATTAGATTTATTTTTAAAACTCAATGATCAACTAACCAATCATTCTCATATTTTTCTAACTATCAGCCAATCATAAATAGAGTTTTTTTAATTTTTTTAGTACTATATAAAAACAAAGACAATAGGGTTCATGTATGAGGCATACTTTTGTATCTAGTGGTAATAAAATTAAATAAAACATTTGTTTATACATAACATTTTTCAATTTTTTGGCAAAAAAACATGTTCAAATAATGTGACATTGACAGTTTTGAAATTATTAGTCACAGTTATGATTGTTTCAATTTGAAATGAAAAGATTAATAAATGGCTACATGTATAAAAATTATATTTTATAGCCTCACTCTATTGACAAATATAGATCATAATTGAATCGTGTTTTAAAATTTTATACTTTAAAAACTATACTCTTATATTTCATTTCGTTACTCTTTTGCCATCAGTCTTGGTTATGTCCATACAAGATTCATCACCAATAATATGTACATGCAACTGAACTGTATATATAAGTTTGTTTTTATATAATGAGTTTCAAATACTAATAAATCAAAAGCATTTTTTTTTTCAGTAGTGGGTAACCTACAGCATTTATAACAAAAACAAAGCAAAGTCAGGTGACTAAATGAAACAAGATTATTGAATCCTGTCGTTTACATGAACTTGATTGATTTTCAAAAGATCACAAATACAAGAAAAGCTTGAAATATGGATAGGCAAAGCTGATTATGCAGGGGAGTCAATAATATGGTTAGGTGAGGTCAGGTACTATATATAGAAAGGGTCATTACTTTCTTACTCTGCAATTGCTTTTCAGAAATAGTTACTCCTCCTAACATACCAATTACTGCGTTCCAGTATGCCTAAATCAGTCCTCCAAGTGTATGGCTTTCCGATCTTGTTTCGTGTATTTTTGGGGATGCTTACAATTTTTAATTATTTTGAGATGTGTATTTTTTTTTAGTAATGATAGATGCTTCTAATTTGAGTGTTCTAATTGGAGTACTAGTGAGATAAGAGAGAGAGAGAGAGAGTAGAGAGAGATAGAGAGAAGAGTGTAGGCCCTATTTTTACATTGTTACTCTCCACATCATTAGAGTTGCATTAGAATTCTCAAACATTATTTATTTTTTTTAATATTGACGAAAGTCAATTATTAGTTGTTAGATTAACATGGTAGAAGTTTGTTTTCTCACCCTTATAAAATACCAAGTGTTTCCCTCTTAATTTATTTTGAGGCGTGTATTAAAATATTTGATACTGTTTTTGTTTATAACTAGAAGAAGAAGAATTAAAAAAAAAAAAAAAAAAAACTATTTGGTGCATTTTTTTGGTAAATTGGAAGCGGATAATCAGAAAATAAAAATCAAAAACACTTTTGCCTCAACTTTCAAATAATTGATTTTGTAAACTTAATTTTAAGTTATTTTTGTTTAATAAAAAAATTTGACAAAGATTCTTAAAATAATTTTATTTAAAAATAAAAAGGGTTATAAACAACCCTTTTGAAGCTGGAGTATGCACGGAATGGGGGATGCTACTGTGGGTGAAATGGACTCATTTCGGGATCCATTTTGATAATTCGAATCGTTCACATTTTAGAATACATCAATTAGAATATACTTGTAAAAAATTAAGTTAATCGGATATCGTTTATCTATTTATCCACTCATATTTGTATTCATTTTAACACTTTAAATCACAATTATTAGTTATTTTTATAGATACATATGTGAGTGGATAAAAGAGTAAACGATATCCGATTAACTTGATTTTTTACAGGTATATTCTACTTGATGTGCTCTAAAATGTGAACGGTTCAGATTATTAAAATGGGCCCCGAAATGGACTCATTTCGTCGCACAACAGCATCTCCAACTTCGTATGCACTCGTTTGGCATAAGGTTACGGAACTAAAATAGTCACAAAAAGATAAAATAAGCCAGAAAGTCAATAAAATAAAATATTACATTCAAACTATAATCATTTTATTTTTTTTCTTACAAAAGTTAAAAAACTCATTTCAAACGAGATTTTTTAACCCCAGACTTGTAACCAAAAAACTAAAAAGTTAAAAAACAAACCCACATCTCAAACATATCCATAGGAAAATGCATTTAATTTTTATTTTTTGATTATCAATTTTAAATTTTAGAAAACTTCATCAAATAGCCCTATGGAGGAGAGAGAGAAAGATGGGAAGAGGAGGCAGAGCCATGACAGCTTGCTCTGGGAATTGACTGTAGTAGCTCAGGGAGTCTTTTTACAATGTACAAACAATGGTTGGGGGGGAAGTAAATGCAAATGTCAGCTATATAGGTGTTTTGAATTTCTGTTTACCACTTTGGTTTAATTTTCAACCACATGTATCATCATCATCATCTGCCATGCAAAGGAATTTCACTTCATAGATTATAGAAAGGAAAGGAACCATGCATATATGGAGGGAGAGGACATGAGTTCTGTAAACTCTATACAGGAAGTGTGAACTATATGCTGTACAGTAGATATTACATTTCATGCGAGGAAGAGAAAACACATTTCATAGAAAGGTCAATTCTAAAACATAATGACATTTTATTATGGGTAAATTATGCAAATGATCCTGTAGTTTACATTTCCCTTAATTTAATGGATTGTGTTATTTTAGTTTAATAAATAAACGTTGTTAAGTATGGTAGTCTGGTAGACGGAAAGTCTATATAATGTGTCAATTTGGTCCCTGTAGTTTGCACAATGTGTTAATTTGGTCTCTATTGTTTTAATTTGCTTGATTTTGACAGGGATCAAATTGACACATTGTGTAAACTATAAAGGGATCAAATTGACACATTGTGTAAACTATAAGGATCAAATTGACACCATTGTTTGACTTTCCGTCCACCAAACTTAACAACTGTTATTTATTAGACTAAAATGACACAATTCGTTAAATTAAGACACAAAATCGAGCAAATTGAAACAATATGGATCAAATTGACACATTATGCAAACTACAGAGATTATTTATATAATTTACCCTTTTATTATTATAATAGATACTCTAAGATCAACCAATAATTTTTCACTGCGAGGGTATAAAATATTCAATTTTTTTTTTTTGTTTTTTTTGATGGCGGAGCAACCACAAATACACATTAGTTTTGGGGTCATTTAAGAAGAAAGGAAAATAAACATAAAGTCAATCTATTCTTTTACTTTTTTTCCACGTCTTTTTCATAAAGAAAAATTAAAAAATTACTAGAAAAGATAATTCTTAAACGAATCTTTAGTTTTTTGAAATTATTTTCAATTTAAATATATATATATATATATATAATTTAGTTTAACAAAAAGAAATATCAAAAAATTATTTTTAAGTATTTATGTCTTCCTAAAAAATAAAATTTTATAAAAAGTATTTTAAATTTTTTTATCAATTTAATTTTTAATATTTTTAAAAAAATTATAAAAATCACACCAAAGCAAGCTTTGACTTTATATGGATCAAAATTGAGTGGTAATGAGTTGGGGGCTAAAGTGATTGAAGCAATTTCAATCAACAGAGCTGCTACGTAGTCCGAAAAAAGTTTGGCTCGAATTCAAAATGACGTCGTTTAGGATTTTTTTTTTCTCTTTTTCTTTCTTTTCTCTGTTCTGAAATAGAGAGGATGAAAATGAAGATGAAGATAGAGAAGAAGAAGAGAGAAGAAAGAGAGAAGAGGGAGCTGGGGACTGAGAGAGAGAGAGAGAGAGCATCAACATCAACAACAACACATCATCAACATCAACAACCAACAATCACAAAAAAAATAAAAAATAAAAAATAAAATTATATATATAGATCATCAAATTTTATACACAGATCATCAAAAAAAAAAAAAAAAAAAAATCGAGAGAGCATCATCATCAACACTAGATCATCTTCTTTATCTTCTTCCCTCTCATCACATTAACACATCATCATCAACACTAGATCTCACACAGATCTATACACACATATCTATATATACATACATGTGTGAGAGAGAGAGAGCCACCAAATCTATACACACACTACACAGATCTATACATACACATACACATCTATATACATATATATATATATACATATGAGAGAGAGAGAGCCACCAACCGGCCAACCAGCGCCGCCATCACCACCATCATCGTCTCCTTCTTCTCTTTCTCCTCCTTCTCTCCTCCTCTCTCTTTCTCGCTTCCTCTCTTTCTTCTCTGTTTCAAAAAGGGAAGGGAACGAAAAGAAAAAGGGGGAAAAAAAAGGAGGAATACCCAAAATGACGTCGTTTTTGGGTATTTGAGTTAATTTGGGGCAATGGTTTTCGAGCCCTCAAGTATTATTCGTCAATCAATTCATTCCAAGAGTGTTTAACCCGATTTTGAAGCCGATCTTAGCCTAAAACTTTAAACCATAGTCAACGAGGAATTTAATTTACACTACAAAAAAAATATTTAAGTGAGTCTAATTTTTTAACACTTTATTAAATTATTTAAGATTATAATTTATTCTTAGTACACCTTATTTTTTTCTCTTAAATTACACTTTTGAAGTACATCCAAATACAACAAATTCAAAAATTTAAATTACTTTAAAAAAACTCTTTAGCAAATCTTTCTTTTATTTATGTACATACAGGGAACACAACTAGGAAACCTAATACCGTCGAAGGCAGCATCGACGAAAGATGTAATAACCCGACGCCCTAATATGCTTTAATTCCTCATTACATGTGCGGTTATATGCGTGTTTATGTGTTTGATGTGAAATTCCATGTTTTAATGTGTGAACT